CATTAACAAGGATCTGGATGGAGACTGGAGTAGTTAAGACTCAAACTCACACTCCAATGGGGAATGCCCACATCAAAAGTCATCACTCAACCTACCCAGTGATGGAGTTTATTTTTGGTCTCTTTTGGCCCATTTTCAAATATCTATCATTTATTAATCCACTGTTAAAGGAGTGTACATGAGATCAATCACATGCACATCAGTTTTGCATAATCTTTATACTTTTATCCACATAAGTGAACAATCCTAGCCTCAAAGATAACTGGGTAAGAACAGATGGCTTAGGACAAGAGCTGATTAACTTTGTCAGATGCCCAATACTGAAGATTTTAGGATTGTGGGCTACATGACCTCTGTCACATCTATTCACTTCAGCTACTACAGGGCAAAAGCAGCCACAGTGTGAACAAATCAGTGTGCTTCATTCTAACAAAACTTCATTTTCTGCAACAGGTAGCAGACCCAATTAGAACCATCGGCCACAGTTGCAAGCCTCTGAGTTGGCTAAATGAAGTAGGGTTAAGTTCTTTGCTATTTTATGGGAAAGAATGTAAGCAAAGCAAAATCAGACTTGTGTGAATTCCATGCATTTCCATTTTTGAGAAATCTCTTATCAGTTCCCAACCCTGAGTACTATCACCTCTCCCACTGCCTCACGGATAAAATCACCACCTGTTGAATGCTATCTAGTACACTGAAGATTTTTAAATAAATTAAATAGGTGTGCCTCTCCATTCTTAATAACATCAGCAGCTGTACTCTCCAGGCAGCACTCAAATACCATGTGATGTCAGAACACTGTAGCCCAAGGTCTGCATCCTTGGCTTCTGGCAGTGTCCATGAACACTTAGAAACTACAGAAAAAAAAAAAAAAAAACTGCTTATACCTACGTCCATTTGTCTTTCATCAGCTCTCCAAGAAGTTAAGCAAGAATTGCTGCCAAAGCTGCAATCGATAAACCATGTCAAAATATTGACTGGTACAGATATGTACTGATGGGGAGGGGTTTATCTCTCTATATGGGAGCCTATGTGTTTGGTCTCTTGTGTTCTTACATGCACCTTTTGATACCACTAGTCTATTTCTGCCTGGTTTCCATAGCATTTCCTAATTCACTATAACATAAAACATGCTACTCCTCAGTTAAGCGAAATGATGTGACTACAGGTATTGGCTACGTAGCACATGACACTAGGAGCACAGGCTCTCTGGAAAGAAGCCTGGAGTTTCTTCAAGCCCCAGCCCAAGAAGCGAAGGTCTCACCATATATATGGATTTGTGTATAAAATCTCATATGTATTTATGTACCATTGAGGACAATTTGGGAATAAGGATTTTAAATGCCAAGATGGAATGAAAACAGTTCTTTATTTTGCTGTTATATATCACTTTCCACCCTAAGTGTTTCTTGCTGGGAGACAATGAACATGTAAATAAAAAATCTCCAGTTAGGAATCCTCAATGTCCAGTTTCATTCCCAACCTCTATTAATAGTATTGAGAGCATCTTGTGACTCTCTTCACTTCAATTAGCGGCTGTCCTTGGTACCTTTGCCTGTAGTGGCTCAATTTTTAATAAAGATGATTGAAAAAAAAGACTGTAATTTTGAAATGTATAATATGAATTAGGAAAAACTAAAAAAAGACTAATTTTGAAATGTATAATATGACTTAGGAAAAACTCCGTGTTGGCCCAAGAATCGGGAGAGGCAAGCTAGGGTCAAAAGGAACAGGCTCTAGAAGCATCTCAGCTACTAGCTTCTCCAGTTTCCAACCATGTGATCTTGAGCAGATGATTCCTTGTACCAAAGGGCTACTGAGAGAAGTAAGAGATAAGAGATACAAAGTGTTGTACAACAGCAAGCACCAAAATGAGTCCTCAATAAACATTAATAATCACTCATGAGTAAACATCAATGGCTTTGCTTATTTGGGAAATATAAAACAGTTAATTTTAATAGTTTCACCTGACTGTGTCAAGAAGGTAGCTACAGCTCCCTTAAAAAAATGGTTTTACACATTCACAGGTAGTGTTATCAAAAAAGTATGAAGGGATTTTTTTTAAAGATTAATAAAAAATGGAATTAGAAATTTAATTTGGTGCAAAAGGTTTTTGGGATCCAAGCATAGTTTTTTCAGAATATACATTTTCTGTGAACTTGTTGATTACCCCTTGTGGAAGTTCAATGAACACTTGCTCACTTTGACTATGAAGACCAGAATTATCATGTCACAATGACTACTAGAGTAATTCATCAAAGTTTCCTTCAAAGATATAACAGTGACATGTATTAAGCCAGGTTTGTTTTCATTTTCCTGTTAAATACATCATCTAAAAGAGAAGAGTTTGGAAAATCACGTGTCTACATACAAAGTTTATAGAGTGAGTAATTTAGGGGTAAAGCGTTATGGAGGTCAGGTAGGAAAAAGCGTAAGAACCTTTAAAGAATGGACAATAGAAATAGCAGGTCTGATATATGAACACAGCCAGCAGGAGAAAGTGCTAGTAACTACCTCCCTTTGCCAGAATTTGGAGCTACAGAAAAATATCATTACAGCTAGGTTAAGCCAACATCTTGCTGTCAGAGGCACAGCCCATTAGAAAAATGTTAAAGGTATTCTAATTTACAGAGTACTCAGCCATCAGTATCAATCAACTTATAAATGATCTTCTGTTCAAACTACAATGGCTATTCTTTGCAATACTTTTTATTTCCTGCTGTCAGAAAACTGGATGAAATCCTAACTGCAAAATCTAAGGGCACCTTTTAAATTACTAAATGCAAGTCAGCAATTTTGGTGTCTTAACAAAGCTAAATCCTAGTTAAGAGATTAATTCAACCCCTATGCCAAATTTCAGGTAAAATTACTTGAAAGTTTAAATGAGCTGGTTTAAAAAATATTTTAGGGGTTGAAACACTTTTAACCACAAACTTATTAACCTTGATCTTTTAGCATCAGTAGCACTGGCTCTATTCCCTCCTGCTCAATGTTATTCATGCCTGAGGCATGATTTATGACTGCTACATTGAAATCTCCGTAGGCTATTTCTCTAGCACTGACTCTCTGCCTCAAAGTGCAAGCCTAGATTTCTAACTCCTAGACTGAATTTCCCTCAACTATCTCAACGTAAATATAAATGGTCATGCTTCCTTCCCAAATCTCCCAGTATAACAGTAATTGGAGTCATACTCCTGGCCTACAGGAAGATGGAACAACTCCACCCTACTGAAAGCAGATGTGGCCATGGGACTCACCACTAATGATGATGTGCAAGTGGATATGAAGTACAGGCTCCTGGGCAGATGCTTTAAGTGGCCAGTGCATGATTAGCCAGATTCTCTCTCAACAACCATGAGACTGGATATAGGGCAGAACCCTTTCCCAGTCTCCAGCCAACTCCTGATAAACATGCAGCACAAGCAAGCAATGCACCTTTGCTGTTTTAAAACCACTGATATTTTGGAGTTGTTACCACTGCATAACCTGGGCTATCCCAATACACCCACGCGCAATCTGCTTCTCCATCTGTGTTCTCACCTCTGCTAAGACACCAAGCCATGCAACCTCAGGGCTGCTTGAAGCTTCTTCCTCTACCTCGCTTCCCGTATGTCAAACTAGTAGTGCTGGCAATCTCACCTCCAAATATTTCCCATTCACTTTGTCCTTCTGGTTGGAGGGCATCTTTTTCCTTGATTACAAACCTGTATCTTTCAAATATTGTCTTCTTAATTCCAAACCTTTCCTGCTCTAAATGATCTTCCAAAATGAAACCAGGAGCCAGCACTGTGGCTCACTTGGCTAATCCTCCGCCTGCGGTGCCAGCATCCCATATGGGCACCGGGTTCTAGTCCCGGTTGCTCCTCTTCCAGTCCAGTTCTCTACTGTGGCCCGGGAGGGCAGTGGAGGATGGCCCAAGTGCTTGGGCTCCTGTACCCACATGGGTGACCAGGAAGAAACACCTGCCTCCTGGCTTCGGGCCAGCCGTAGCGGCCATTTGGGGAGTGAACCAACGGAAGGAAGACTTTTCTCTCTGTCTCTATCACTGTCTATAATTCTACCAGTCAAAAATTTAAAAAAATGAAACCAGAACAGTCCTTGTTAAAAAAAAAAAAAAAAAAAACTGGAGCCTTTCCCATTTTTAAAGTCCTTGAATATTTCCCCACTGTTCACATACATAAACATGTGAGGAGCGATACTGCACACAGTCTCCATGCCAGGCCCTGTGGGCACAAGGATGAGCCACCTGTCTGCACACTGACTTTCCCTATGATGCTGTGACATAGCTAGTTGTAGAATGTGTTGCCCAAAACTCATATTCAGGAAAAAACTCCAGTTTGTGACATAATTTGTTCTAAAACATTGGTATGGACTCAAGTTTCTTTATGAACAGTTAACTCAAAGTCATATCCCAACCTACTCTCTTGAGAGAAACAAAAAGGGGTGGAGTTTCTCATTAGCTGGGCAGGGAAATACACACATTCCAAGAACCTACTGGCACAGTAACTTCTCTATTAGCAGAATACACATTACTGGAACTTGTTATTTACTAATTTTTATGTTGGAGTTCATTAAAATTTGGGACCCCCAGCAGCTTCTGTTGCAAAATACTCTAATATCAACTGTTATCTGAGTCCTGTAAGGAGAATAAAGGTTAAGAGTTACCAGTTAAGCTACAGGAAAAAGGCCACAAGATCAAGGTCAAACTTCAACATATTTCAGCTCTTCAAAATCTGCTTCAAACTTGCCTTTTGGGCCTCATCTCCTTTTACACTCTTAACATAGCTCCATTCAAGATGCTCCAAATCTCTCATGGTAAGACCTTTCTCCCACTTCTAAACTTGGCAAAATGATACTCATTCTTCAATGACTAGCTCAGTCGTCAATTAATGCTTTCTGTGAAACCTACCCTAAGAGCTCTTGGCAATATCTGGTCTTTGGCATGAAGCATTTCCATGTTTAGCACAGGAAAACACTTAATTGTCTAAGAATCTACTCACCCACTAGGCCAATGAAGTCCCTGAGGATCAGACTACATTTGATCATCTTTGAGTCCCAAGCACTTGGAAGACAGACATATGGATCCACAGTTTTTAAATGAATAGCATGGTGAAAATCACATCCCATACTCTCACCCTTCCATTAGCCTACAGAAAGATGTTAGAGAAAACTTATTTTTAAAATCCAAAGGAGATTTTATACTTATAACTTTTATTTAAAAAAAAAATCTGGCAGTTAACTTAAAAATAGGCTAGTAAAACTTCAATACATGTGTGTTTACACATGTGTGCTTGTGTATGTACATGCAATAATTTCCTGTGGCTGCTGTAATAAATTATCACAAACTGCGTTGCTTAAGACAATAGAAATTTATTCTCTCAAAGTTCTGGAGGCCAAAGGTCCAAAGTCAAGGTGCTGGCCAGGCCAGTGTTCCTTTAAAAGCTCTACGACAGACTCTTTTCCCTGCCTCCTCTGGTTTCTAATGGCTCCAGTGGCTTGAAGCTGCACCACTCCAATTTCTGCCTCTATGGTCACTCCGTCTCCTCCTTTTCTATCTCTAATCTCCCTCTTTCTCTTATAAGGATATATGCCATGGTTTTAGAGCCCAGGTAATTTAGGATGACCTCATCTGAAGATTGTTAATTACATCAGCAAAGATCTTTTCCAAATAAAGCAACATTCACAAATTTCAGAAATCTGGACATGGCCATATCTTTCAGGAAGCCACCATTCAACCTACTACCCTACTATCACGTGTGTGTGTGTGTGTTGTATATATGCCCCCCCCACACACATACACAAAAAGAAATGTTCTTAAAGAACGCTTTATTGAATACCTACATGTTGCCAAAGTAATAGTTTGGAAACTGTGTTGGGAGTTGGGGACACGAGGAGGAACACCAGACACAACTACCAGATTCACAGAGGACACAGTCTACTGGCAGATACAGAAATCAGGTTATTTTTCAAAGCTGTAAAATGCACTATGTGGGAACATGATATCATGGCTGTATACAACAGGGAACCTCACCTCATCAGTTGGTAAATGAGTAACCCTGACATCTTCTCCACTAGAGACAGATGTTTCGGGGAATACTCTTTGACACACAGTTTATCTCCCACCCTGTACTGAGACATTCACTGAAGTCCTTGTTTCACATGTTTGCTTTGCACATGGAATAATGTGACTCAATGATATTCTGTGGAACTACTATAATTCATGGAATTTAAGATGCCATCACTTGGGGTTGGTGCTGTGGTGCAGAATTTTAAGCCTCTGCCATCAGCTTCCACATCCCAGGCGGGTGCCAGTTCAAGCCCCAGATGCTCCTCTTTGATCCACTTACTGCTAATGCACCTGGGAAAGCAGCAGCAGATGACCTAAGTATTTGAGCTCCTGCACCAAGCAGATCTGGAAGACGCTCCTGGGTACAGCCTGGCTGTCTGGGAAGTAAACCAGCAGATGAAGACCTTGTCTTTCCTCTCTCTCTACCTCTTTGTCCTGGTTGCTCCTCTTCCAGTCCAGCACTCTTTCAAATAAATAAATAAATAAATAAATCGTTTTCAAAAAAAATCATCACTTCTAAGGTCCCTAATATTTTACAAAATCAAGACAGAATAAACACCTCTGATTAAACCATGCCATGCCATTAATTATTAGACACATCCTGACCTCAGAGATATACTAAAATGTACACCTTAGAATCATGCTAATTTCCATTTTGAATATATTCTTACCAGACATCTAGAAAAATGAAAGAGCTTTTGATTAAACAGTATGGCCCAATTTCAATGATCTGCCAGCAAAATTTTAATGCTGAATTGGCTTTACCCAGCTTTGGAATTTTTTCAACTTCTTCCCATCAGGCTAATATATGTAAATATAATTCAGTAAGTGTTAAAGTAAGACATATTCTCATTACTGGGTTTCTTCTAGACTTAAGATAGTTTGAGGAGTCAGAGCTGTAGAAACAACTCTAAATTCCTTGAACAAAATAAGAAAGGCATGGCTGCTAGAATTATCATCTGTTTCTTTGCCCACAACCTGCTGAAAGTGAGAAGGTGAAAGATTGTGCGTATGCACCTGTGTGTGTGCTCTGGAGTGCAAGTATGAGAGTGCTTCATAAAGTTTGTGGAGAAACAGAATGAAATGTTGTTTATTTCAGTGTAAAAAACATTTTTAAACATAGTCTTTTCATAATGGGTATTTTTCATGACCATACTGAAGATCCTTTGTATGCCTGCATTTGAAAAAAATTTTGTAACAGAATAAATGTCTTTTAACTCCACTTCCCACAAATATTTTCAAGTACCTTAATAATTTAGGGAGAAACTGGAACATCCCAAAAATCTCATGGTAGAGACAACATTTGTGATCCAACTGGCAGGATGCCATATTAGACCCTGTGAAATGTACAATAGAAGACAGGATCCCTGTTCTCAGTTTAGAAAGAAAAATCTAAAAATAGGATGAAACTTTTAAATCAACAAACTCCAACCTAATAAAGTTCCTCATGAAACCTAGGACTGAGGTTTAACACTAGTAGTCATGTAGTTGTGTAAACTAGACCCAATTTCAGAGAATATGAGTTCTTGTACACACTTGTCCTTTACTTCTGCAGACAGTCTGGGAGGCTTTTAAATTTTTTCTTTATTTTTTCTTTATTTGAAAGGCAGAGAGGCAGACAGAAGAGAGATCACTGGCTCACTTCCCAAAAGCCTGCAAGAGCCAGGAATAAGCAAGGCAGAAACCAAGAGCCCAGAACTCAATCCAAGTCTCCCAAGTACTTGAACCATCATCTGTGGTCTCCTATGATTTGCATTAGCAAGAAGCTCAACTGGAAACAGAGGAAGTGAGACTTGAATGAGGCGTTCAGATACTGGAACACTGGGGTTCCAATCAGGGACTTGACTTGTAGCAAACGCCTCCCTCAACAGTCTGGGTTTTGACACTGAGATAGGCGTGCTGTCCTACTTTTTTTAAAAAAAGATTTAAGCCTGATCACTATATTCCTAAAGTTGTACTTATGAAATTTGTACTCAATAAATAAAACAGATTGGTAGGCCGGCGCCGCAGCTCACTAGGCTAATCCTCCGCCTTGTGGCACCGGCACACCGGGTTCTAGTCCCGGTCGGGGCACAGGATTCTGTCCCGGTTGCCCCTCTTCCAGGCCAGCTCTCTGTTGCGGCCAGGGAGTGCAGTGGAGGATGGCCCAAGTCCTTGGGCCCTGCATCCCATGGGAGACCAGGAGAAGTACCTGGCTCCTGCCATTGGATCAGCGCAGCACGCCGGCCATGGCGGCCATTGGAGGGTGAACCAACGGCAAAAGGAAGACCGCGCTCTCTCTCTCTCTCACTGTCCACTCTGCCTGTCGGAAGGAAGGAAGGAAGGAAGGAAGGAAGGAAGGAAGGAAGGAAGGAAGGAAGGAAGGAAGGAAAAAGAAAAGAAAAGAAAAGAAAAGAAAAGAAAAGAAAAGAAAAGAAAAGAAAAGAAAAGAAAAGAAAAAACAGATTGGTGACATGTCCAATGCTGTATTGTGACATGCGCATACAACTTGGAAAGGATCATGAAAGCTCAGGCCTTATGAGACAACTCAATGATGAGTTACATAGCAGCAAAGAAACTCCTGGAGATACAGCCTGACCATCCCATTATTGAGACCTTAAGACAAAAGGCAGAGGCTGTGAAGGATCTGATTATCTTGCTTTATGAAATTGCATTCCCTTCTTTGGCTTCAGTCTGGAAGATCTTCAGACACCTGCTAACAGGATCTACAGGAGCAAACTACTGATGATACTAACGCTGCTGTAACTGAAGAAGTGCTGCCCCCAAAGCTGATGACGCAGCACGTGTGGAAGAAGTAGACCAAGCTGTACCAGACAGATGACTTTTACACATATTCAATAATTTACTTTTATTCCCTCTGATAATATATTTCAACAATTTTTATTTTTGTTAACATTTAAAAAAATTGTATGGGGTGGGTAATGTGGTAGCAGATAAAGCCACCACCTGAGGTGCCAGCTGCCTATATGGGTACCAGTTCATGTCCTGGCTATTCTACTTCTGATCCAGCTCCCTGCTAATGCAATTTGGAGAGCAGCAGATGGCCCACGTGCTTGGGTCGCTGCGCCCATGTGGGAGCCCTGGAAGAAGCTCTTGGCTTCAGATGGGCATAGCTCTGGCCATTGTAGCCTTTTATAGAGTGAACCAGAGGATGGACAATCTCTGTCTCTCCCTCTTTTCCTCTCTCTCTGTAGCTCTGCCTTTGTTTTTTGTTGTTGTTGTTGTTGTTGTTTTAAGATTTATTTATTTATTTGAAAAGTCAGAATTAGAGAGAGAGAGAAGGAGGCCAGTGCCACGGCTCAATAGGCTAATCCTCCACCTGCGGTGCCGGCACTCCGGGTTCTAGTCCCGGTCGGGGCGCTGGATTCTGTCCCGGTTGCCCCTCTTCCAGGCCAGCTCTCTGCTGTGGCCCGGGAGTGCAGTGGAGGATGGCCCAAGTAATTGGGCCCTGCACCCCATAGGAGACCAGGAGAAGGACCTGGCTCCTGCCATTGGATCAGCGCGGCGCGCCGGCTGCAGCGCGCCAGCCGAGGCGGCCATTGGAGGGTGAACCAACGGCAAAGGAAGACCTTCCTCTCTGTCTCTGTCCACTCTGCCTGTCCAAAAAAAAAAAAAAAAAAAGAGAGAGAGAGAGAGAGAGAAGGAGAGGCAGAGAGAGAGAAAGAGAGAGGTCTTCCATCTGCTGGTTTACTCCCCAATTGGCCACAACGGTCAGAGCTGCTCCGAACTGAAGCCAGGAACCAGGAACTTCTTCCGGTCTCCCACGTGGGTGCAGGGACCCAGGACTTGGGACATCTTCTACTGCTTTCCCAGGTGAATTAGCAGGAAGCTGAACTGGAAGTGGAGCAGCCGGGACTTGAACCAGTGCCCACATGGCCTGCTAGAACTGCAGGCAGCAGCTTTACCTGCTATGCCATAGTGCTAGCCCCTCTGCCTGTCAAATAAATAAACCAACCTTAAAAAATTCTGTATGGCACGACAACTACTTACAGGAAGATACCATTTCTTTCTAAGTGATACCATGATATTCAGCACAAGCAGGGCTCGTGACACTTTTCTAGTTTTGTGTTGGCTTGTAACTGATCAGGTAATGCCTGCTGTAAGATGTACATAACCCATTGTTAACTTTGTAGCATAAAGTGTTTCAGCTATCAAAATATGAAACTGCAACCTAAGAAATATTTCTTTCAAATTTAACTGTGCATTTCCTATTTCTTTTGCTTAGACTTCCCCTAACACCTGTGTTCTAACTCACTAGGAAATCCTTTCAGACTCGCTTCAGCCGTCTTTCCTTCCATCATATCCCGGCCCTCTGTATTCTTCCACACCTTTTTACGTAAGTTGTCATGCATAAAACTGTCTCCTGATTTTCTATCTTTTACCCACAGGTGGGCCCTTGTCCCTGTTAACTCAGTGCCCATTCAAGTGCACCTATTCAGAGCACTGGTCACTGATGTATTCTGTCTGATTAGCCTTTCTACATCTTTCAGCCTGGGATTTATTCAATGAAGAGTGTGAGAATCACACAGTGGTGATTGAGTTTGTTTTTCAGGGTTTCACCAGTTTTCATGAATACAATGTACCCTTTTTGTGGTATTTATTACATTATACTTTTTAACCTTGGCTGGCAAAGTCATCATTGTGACAATTATCAGCATTGATCTCACCATCACACTCCCATGTACTTCTTAGTGCCTTTTCCACTTCAGAGATCGTGTACACGCTGGCCATTGTACCACGAATGCTCTCCAGCCTCGTAGGTCTAAGCCAACCTATCTCCTTGGCTGGCTGTGCCACCCAGATGTTCTTTTTTTATCACTACGGCTACCAACAACTGCTTTCTGCTCACAGCAATGGGATATGACCACTACACAGCCATCTCACCCACTGAGGTACATGGTTATCATGAACAAGAGGGTGTGTGCCCAGCTAGTATGGGGGGGCTTGGAGTATTGGGCTGCTTGTGGCCATAGCACAGATGTCATCTGTATTCAGATTGCCTTCTTGTGACAGAGAAATAGCCCATTATTTTTGTGACATCCGTCTAGTTATGAAACTCTCCTGTGCTGATACAACTCTGCATGACATAATTAATTCTGTCATCAGTTCATTGGTTATCGTCATGCCCATGGGCTTGGTGCTCATCTCCTACATTCTCATCATCTCCACTATTCTCAAGATCGCCTCTGCTGAGGGCCGGAAAAAGGCTTTTGTAACTTGTACCTCACGGTCGTCATCATTCACTATGGCTGTGCATCCACTGCCTACCTTAAACCCAAGTCAGAGAACACCAGGGATCAGGACGAGCTGACTTCAGTAACTTAAACTGTGTTTACTCCACTCCTTAATCCCACTGAGTACACTTTGAGGAATAAGGAGGTCAAGGATGCGTTTCAACATGCTATTGGCAAGAAACTCCTGCGTAAGGTCTTCAGCAATTTACCATACCACAGTCCTAACTTCATCCATGGTTTTAGTTATTTAGCCAATTGTAATCTGAAAACATAAAATGCAAAGTTCCAGAAAAAATTTGTTAAGTTTTAAATCGCATGCATAATGAAATCCAGAGCAGTACTATTGCATCCCCCTTGAGACAGAAATCATCCTTTTGTCTAACATATCCATGTTGTATATGCTTCCTGGCAATTAGCATGTATAGTATAATAATATATTTTGAGCTAAAGAAAGGGACCATACATTCACATAAATTTGATTATAGTATATATAGATACAATTGTTCTATTTTATTATCATCATTGTTAGCTTCTTATAAATTAAACTGCATCATAAGTATGTATACGTAGGAAGTATTTATGTATATGTTGTGTATATAAGGCTAGGTGCCATTTGCAGTTTCAGGCATCTCCTTGGGGTTTTGGAACTATCCCTCAGAGACAAGAGGAGACTACAGTCTATCATAGTCTGGGTATTTTTGTAAGCTCAAAAACTTGATCCTATCATTCAACTCTTCCCAGAGAGAGTTACAAAATTTGGTGTTAAGGTTGCATTAATAAATCAAGAGTCTCTCTGACTTGACTTGTTTTTACCATAATTTTTCAATGCATTCTGCTAATCTCATAGATTACCATCAGGGTTGCTTACAAGGGGGAATGCTGGTACGGATCATAAGCCAGCAGGGAAGTGACTGCTATGTTTGCTATGGCAGAAAATTGGGCAGCATAACACCTATTGGAAGTGACAGGTTGAAAGATCAACCTAAATGCCAAATAGATTAAAACTTCAAAGAGGATACAGTTGTTGAATGGGATGTGTTGAAACTACAATTCCCACTTTTTCCTTTGGACAGTGACAAAAGTAACAGACCCTGACATTCCAGAAGCAATGTTATCAGCTTTAAACTCACCTGCCTTGGAGAGCCATGAGTTTCATGTTTGTTTTTGGGTTTTTTCTAATTTTATTAAGGTTCACATTGGAACTACTCCCTAGATAAGTCTCGAGAACCAGTATATTCAGTGTTAGTAAAAGTAAACAACTTGGTAATACTTAGCCTCTGAATTTCACTGTATTTATATATGTGTTTTTTTTCAGGGAGGAGTAGTTTTTATATACATGCCACAATCTATTCACAAGTATAGGGATATCTGGAGATCTTTTCTGATATTAAATGTATTTTTAAAAGTCTGTATTTATTTTTGTTTTGTTTGAAGTGGGGAGGGTAGAAATTGATTGATCTTCCCTGCCTGTCCAGGTGAAAGCCAGGAGCCCACAGCTTCATCCCAGTCTCCCACATGGGTAATAGTGATCCAAGCACATAAGCCATCACTGCTGCCCTCCGCAATTCATTATCAAAAAGCTGGATCAGAGGCAGAGTAGCTGGGACTTGAATCAGGGACTCCAAAATGGGGTGTGGATGTCCGAAGTGGTGACTTAACTGCTACATCAAATGCACGCTCCAGAAATTAAAGGCATTGATATTAATTCCCAACTAGCTCTTGCTATGTCAAATCTAGAAAGTAGCCCATGATTTCCATTCTTCTATGTAGAACACAACCTGTTATCTATGTCTTGCCTTTACCCTCTTCATTGCTACCTTGATAAGCTTATTTTCTGTGAGCAGTTGTGTAGCCCACTTGAACTTAAGTTTGAAGAGTGTTCTAAGCAAGAATCTTGGAATTTCTCAAATTGTATTGTTATTGCTTTTTAAGAGGGAAGATTGTTTTGATTTGCAGAAAAGATTTAAGATTTTAGAATTACTTGTCCTGAGGAAAAGAAGCAGGATCACCAAATGTCTTCCAGTTCATATGGGGCTGATGTATAAAAAAGAACAATCAATCTGTATCTCCAACCATCATGACTATGTCCTCGTCCCCACAGAAAATGCACTGAAAGTACAAGTCAGAAGACCTGAGACTCCTTAACAGAAGAAGGACCAAGAAAGGAAGTTTTCGTGCTTGTGGAGTACTGCTTGAAAGAAAACAAGATATGTCCCCTCCTAACATCTACCTCCAAGGGAGCATCCTGAGAGTAGGTGTGCAGAGAGCTCTCCTGACAGCTTAATGTCACCTCTCTCTGAGTGTCCCTGAGGACATTTCTGAGTCCTTTCTGGGGAAGGTACAAGGCAAACATTCTCACACCTTGCTCCTGAAAAACCCCTTCCCAAAGCCTCTCCTAGTAGTCACATCATGTCAATGGAGAGCTGAATCTGAGTGAACAGAACTCCCAGAAGACTTCCCAGAGCTCTACAACTCTCTGTAAAATTTGTGTCCAGTATTGAAAGCAGTGTGTGTCCCTGAGTTCCTACAGCTGTACATTACAGAAAACTATGATACAATTCATCAAATTTTTGCAATAATAAATCATGTATATTGAAGACAAAAAAAATTAAGCCTGGTCCTTGCATGCAAGATTAAGAGGAATCAGGAAGACAACTTCAACAAAGACTTTGGGAGAGGTAAACAGAACATAAGAGGACTTTATTTTGTCTTTCAAAATGGACAGCTATGAGTCACTGCAGGATTTTAAAGTTTTAGACAAATGTATGTTAAAAACAGTATGTAAAAGTGTGCCCCTCATACAAAAGATTTGGGGGAAATACTCATACTTTCAATTAAGTAAACTAAAGTTGAGCAATTTGCAAATCATTCTTAAATTCTGAATCACTCTCTCTCTCGCTCTCTCTCACACACACTCACACACACACACACACACACACACACTTGGGCAGCAGCTTTGTGAAGTATCATCTTCAAACAAATTCTACCCTGGAGAAAACTAACTGCCAAAGCATCTGGACGATGCTTCTAGAGGATGTTTAACAACTTACTATCACTTCTGAGACTCACCAGGGTAACACTGGCTTCAAAATGAATTTAAGTTTGCTTTAGAAAAACAAATCTTGGGCCTCCCACAGTCATTGAAAAAGAAAAGTAGGTGGAGATGAGGAGCAGTTGTAGCTACAATTTCTGTTCTTTAGGGAATTGAAGGATTCTTTTCAGATTTCATTAACTTTATCTGTCCCAGGAAGATCAATGCAGTCCCCTCAAAGACAGGTGTGGCTGAAACGTATTTTTCTACCATTAAAGAAAAAAATAAATCTGACAAAGA